GCTTAGATGTCGAGGCGCTTTCTGGCAGTCATTGTAACAAAGCTTTCTATTGGTCGGTAAACTTTCTATCGCGCAACCACGTGACATACACGGTTATGAATAGAATTACCGCACGGTGTTGTAGAGGGAGGAATGTCCGAACGGAACAACACCGTGCAGGCGGACGATGACTGTGTACATACCTGTCTACATTAATATACTGCCCTCTACAGTTGAAACATGAAAAGGTAAATTTAAAAACTTGAAATGCTGCATCTATTTCTGTAATTGACATGTGTATCCCCGAGGGCGAAGCTACGTCACAAGACGTTCAAGGTTGCTAAGATGCGCACCACTTTACCACGTATTTCTATGGGGCACAGCATCAACTTTGAAGTAATCCTGAACAACCAAAATTATATATGTTGCACACGCAGGGGTAATCTTGTTACACTGTTCATGGGAGTCTTAACAACTATCCCAAAGTGTCGTTTTCTGAGGGTTTTCGGCCTTTGTTTTCACCGTGATGGTTGCCAGGCGGTGAAAATGCCCGTCCCAAGAATAAAAACAATGTGGTTATTATTTACAGTGGTGAATCCATGACTGTTAGACTGTCCTCTATAGCTCAAAGCATAGGAATGATGAATTCAAAATTATATAATTAAGAGGAATCAGCGTACATGTACCGATAGTTATATGTTGTTATAAATTAGTTAATTGTGTAGTTTGGTAGATGCACAATGTAGATAGGATTATGGGAAGAAATTGCTTTAAAATTCCATCAACTTTGAATCCATAAACTGTAGTACATTGTATTACAGTTTTCCCTATTAGAAAGGAAACTGTATTCTTCCATGTTGATAAACTATGGGACAAATGTTATATATATTTTTTCTTCATTTTGTCAGAGCATATTTTGAGTAATTTGGGTGTTCTCTGAGCGGTGTTGGGAACTGATAATATGTTCGTGCTGATCTGACACTGACAAGGATACCCAGACTTGAAATTTATTTCCATTTATTTAAAACTTTTTTTGCAATTTTCTGCAATTTACATCTGTTTGGCTAGGACAGTTATTCACAGTGGTGAACCCTTATGACTTTAATGATGGTGTCTCAAATTGGTAGACTGCCCTCTATAGGTCAAACTACATAAATGGTGAATTCAAAATTGTATAGTTTAGAAGGAACCCAAGTATTCATAAAACTAAATACAGACAATAAAAACATAATACCATTTAGTAGATTTTTGGACCAACTGCCCTAAGCAAAAACTTAACTGAACAAATATACCTAAAACTATTGCCTTCCAAAACAAGGTATTTTATGCTCACTACGAGATCTCTCGTATTACATGAATTGTAAGGACAAACATCTGCCACAAAAAACGAACAATTTGATTTTGAACAATTTGAATTTCTTTTTATATAGCTCAATGTGGAAATGCAGATCTTTAGGATGGGAATAATGTGTTGAAAAAAAAAATGCTTACAAAATTTACTTTCATCAGATGTGTATCATACATTATTAAGCATATTTCCCAAAATACTTTTGGATTTGTAGAATCCTAGACAATGTTTTGATGTCACTACAATGCTATGACTGCTGTTTGTTGTGTTTTCACATTCAATTTCATGCATAACACGGAAAATGGTCTTTTTCAGTTGCAAGAAATTGTCATGATTAAATTGACTGACTTTGTGTTTTTAGGAACAGAATTAAATATTTCAATATTCACTGCTACGGAATTTCATGATTTGCCATGACTCATAAAAATGATTAGAATGGAAAGAAAATACAGTCACAGCAAAAAACACATATGTATATACCGGTAATACATCTGCCAAATTCCTCCAGGTTGTCAGATGAATAAAACAGTCAAACTTGAGTTAGTGGCCACCTCATTTGCCTATAGTGACCACTTTCAGGCAGTCTTATATGACCATTCTTTCAACAATATTTGTGCAGATACCTTTGTTAAGAGACCTGAATAATCATCATTCTGTTTATAAAATAATTTTTAACTTCCTCAAGTCAAATTATTTGATTTTAAAATAAATGTACTTTTGTTGCAACAGTACCATCTCGTAAATTTCTGGACAAAAATTACGTCAATGTATGAATTGGCGATAAAAAAAATAATCCAATCTTGATATAAAGACCACCTGTCTATAAAGACCATTTTAATATAGGGACCCCTTGGTAGATGCTATACACAGGTATGACATTTGATTGAAAATGTTAGGAAAACAAAAAGGTTGTTACCGTTGGAATTAATCTATCATGACTGACACCTTTCATGTGGTCGTTGACACCGATATACTGTTTCAGGTTGTCCCAGTGTGCTACTTTTTTTCTCACTTCCTCCTCATCATCTTCTCCCTTTGAAGATGATGACGAATTTGGATCTCTTTTGTGCTTTCTTTTCCTTTTCCGTTTTCCTTTCTTATACTCTGGGATCTTCTCTTTGGCTGCTTCTTCTCGACGTTTCTGCAGTTCTTGAAATTTCTGAAGAATGAAAATATAGTTGAAAAGTACCAGAACTGCAGATTCAAGTCTCTTGATTTTAATTTTGTTCAAGTTGTTCTACACACAGTCGCTTTAATAATTGCTTGGAGCGTTTTTGATGACCCCACCTACGGCTAATGGGGTGGTATATTACCTATCAGGCCTGGGCAGTGGGAACATGTTTGTAGTATTTGATAATAGTTGTATAGTATAGTCACTTGAGGTCTTATATCCCAATAAATCGTTCAGTACTATTTATTAATAATTTTTGAAGAGAAGTAGCGGTGAAAAAATATTGATACTGATCGATTTTCTTTATTTTTATCCTTCTGTGACTGTGTATATTAAAGATAGTACCTCCAACATGGTTTGAGAAATTCCCTTCGCCGGGGATGTGTGGGGTTTCATGTCGTCATCGCCTGAAAGATGTTCTTCTTCTGCCGAAAAATCAGTTTTATTTTCCGCGGAGTCCTCGCTCTCAGTCTCAACATGTTCTTCCAGTCCTGGAATTATAGAGAACATACTTTACATGTCTGGTATATTTCGAATGACTGTAAAGTTCTTTGTTCAAATACCTGTGAATTACTCTGCTGTTAATAAACAATGCGCTGAAACTGAACCAAAACAACCGCACGAACTCTCACTTCCGGTATGGGGAATACGTTTTTTTCGCTCCCGATGAGAATTCACCCTTGACCTGCAGCAAACCAATCAACTTACGATATGTTGATGACATCACAGGACTTGGATCACCGCCATAGTTTGCTTGATTGTATTACTCCCGAAAACTGGCCACTGTTTTTGCGTCGCTTTTATCAGTTATTCGTTCGATTCGTATATTCCGAAGTACCGTAGTCAATTCGTTATTATAGTGTCGGGTGTATGTTTGTCAAACAAGACGCAAATAACACCATGACTACTGTCGCAATTTGATTACCGCGGTGCTGCCTGCAGGTTGCCCAGTCTCCAGTCGGTGTGTTTTCATCTCTGTGTCGAGGATTGTCAGGTGTATAATCATCCACGGACGCCAAACCGTGTTTGTTTGGCCCGAGTACATCGTATAAATACGTTAAGGTAGGACTTTTTCAGTATTTTTTGTTTGGATTGAATAATACACGGTGTTCATATAGACCCTGGCAACCAACTTGAATTTAAACAAATTGAAAAATGTTGGAAATGTCAGTGTGTTGTTACGATGTGTATTGACTGTTACGTGGAATAATTCAAGTAATGAAATTATTGCTTTTGTTACTGTAAAACACTTTGAAATAGCTACATACCATTTTAGCGAATTTGACACAAAGCATGAATTAACTGAATCTTAATTTAGCTAAAATGTCAATAATCTTACTGTGAGAATATACTCTAGATATTCTAATTAGCGACATCTTAATTTAGCGAAATTGTGGTTTAGCTAAATTAGCTAAAATAACATGCTAACTAAATAGGCATGTTTTACGCGTATTGTTTACAACAGTATTTTAGTTTATGTCAGAAATGAAATTGAGTTCTATGATATTTTGCTTTCTATGTAAATTAGCGTCCACTATAGAAATATGCATAAATACAAGAAGAAGAAAGTGAATCAATGAATATGCTACATACAAATGTAGTATGAAGGAAACTTTAAATACTAGTAACTTTATTTATGGTGTTGTGTCTAGTACATAAAAAGCTAGCTCAGTGATTTTTACTGCTTTTCAGTGAAAGCGGTTTCATAGTATTTCATCTTTCTGGTGTTTCTAAAGTGGCCCTTCACAGAGTTCATTGCATAGCTAACAATATCTGCATTTTATTCATCTTTTGCTCAGTGTAGGTCTCCTAGCAACCCTAAATCATTTATTTTCAAATTTTACTGTATTTACTTATTGGTATCAGTAACTGGGAAATGGGTACTACAGATAGCTTTAAAACTCGTGCAGGTTTAAATTATAGTTTGGACATAAGAGTCTAATCACATTCTCCATAATTAAATTAAATAAAATTTGTACATTCCTGAAGCCAAAATCACTAATAGGCTGTAAAATCATCACACCATAAATTATAATTTTAGAAAATTCATATTTAAATAATAATATTTTAATTCAATTATATGCAACCACGAATGTGTGAATAGTGCATGACATATTCAGTTGCATACATACATTGTACATGCAGTTTAGAATATAACCCAGTAGTCCTACACACTAACTAAGTACTACATGTACATGTATGGCTACTGGTATAACTACATGTACATTTTGTACACTTCCATAGTGTAACTTCATTTTCTGTATAAAAGCATTATTTGTACGACAGAGAATACAGAGAAAATTAAAAAAAATGCATATACATCTTGCCAAGTTTTATTGATTCAATTATAACTGGATTGTCTATTGTTGCATGTGAGGCCACTAGAGGGAGATTAATTTAAAGCATAGGCCCTGGTCATGTGACTGGATGATGAATACTAAATGTATAGAGGAGGATTACCAGGGATAGCTATGGACTGTATCCAGGTCAGCAGAGTTCACCTTTTTGACATTTAAATGTACATGTGTTACTGGTATATTGTTTGCTGAATGTTCCTCCCCTGTTTGAAGTTGTCTCCCTCTCTTACAAGCATATGCATTGAGTTCAATGAGCAGGTAAACATGCTTTTGACTGATTTAAGGAATACCAATCATGGTAAATGCATCCATGGAGGAAAGTACTAGCACATAGTACACCTGTGTATGCAGGTGACATCAGTTGGGACTATGCAAGATGTTGTAGTTGCAGCCTCCACTTTACAATACATGTTTATGGACTATGATCATGTTACATCACCAATATATATCAAGTTAAATTATCGTAAGAGTGCTTGCCTTAGTTAACAAATACTGGGTAACTTACTAGCTTTGTGTTCTGAAGGTTATGATGACCCACTCATACTGCAACTGAGCTTATAAATGCGGACATTGTACAGACTACTGTGAAACGGTTAAACTGGCATGTTCCATCTTTGAAATGAAAAGAAAGGAAGGTTGGGAATATTCTAGTTGGCAGTCTGTGGGAGTGTATGCATGCAGTGTATGTTTTTTATCCAGTACCATTCGTTTTGGTGCAGCCTTTTGCACATTTTTTTTTCTCTGTAAATGTTTGGTTTATTTTTATACCAAATCGATCAACTAGATCAACAAGTTTGTGGAAACGGGGAAAAATGTACAAAAGTTTATTTTGTGAAAGTTGACAAGAGTTGACTTTGCTGGCATTCATAGATAATTGAAATGTGAACAAAACAGCGAATTCTTTGGGATGTCAGGATATTTCTTTTAAAGTGGTATTGCAATATACCGTATATATACTAACTTCCCTCATAAATTTTATAAATGTTCAAATCATCAAACGCAACTGTAAAAAAAGACATTTTAGGTAGCTATAGTCAGTTTAGCTGGTAGATCTTGTGGAATCATGTTGGCTGTAATTAATACTTGTAGCAGAGATTAAATTTAAATCACATGTTGCTTCTGCAAATGTGTTATAGTTATTAGTGAATTTTAAAATAATCACTATGTTACTTGAACAATATATGAAATGTAATTTGTTCCTAAACTTTCGCCTCTTCATCATGAGCTGTGGCTGAGCAAATGCGAATGGATACTATAAACACATTAATTATTTGCTGATATTTAATTTTGTTATTTTCGCCAATAAGTGAAATTAACATAAACAATTAGGAAAATATACAGCATATTTTAATGGTGATTAAAAATATTATGTCAAAAATACTCACTTAAATGCACAGAGTTGTTCCCTTTTAATTTCTCGCAATATTTTTACAACTAGGCCTGTGGTTGAATTATTATTTATTTTATGTCACCATATTGAATTAATGTACTTGCCGCTGACTTTACTGGCCAATCAGCGGCAAGTACATTAATTTAATATGGCAACAAACAGACAACTTAAATGAAATTTTCCCAACTAAGTGTGCCAACTCTAAATGCAGTTTTCCTTAAATCTGATAAGTAAAGTATCTCTGTTCACACATATACTGTTGTTCCTAAAGGTAATTATTCAATCAGTGTTTTGGGTATACTGTTTGACATCAACTTGACGCCAACTTGGCAAGTGTGCGAGACAAGTGACACTTGTCTTACCTTCGGTACTCGCTGTATGAGCTTTGCTGATGTTATCGTCCGGGTAACACTGACAGCAGGTTTGTATGGGTCCATCCACTAAAATCTTACCACATAGAGTATTAAAGGAAGATATAGGACTCATAGCGATGTATACAATGCATGTAAAATACATTGTTTGTTTAGGTTAAATTCGAACAACCGCTCGCGCCGACCACCGCCCTTTAAACTAAGTTTATTGAGTCCAGCAAGTTTGTGTACAAGTTTGTCATGAAATATCATGTTATGAAATGTGTTCTGTTTTCATACCCAGACAAAAATGATTGGTGATTAAATTTTATTTGCACGAATCAGCTGCCTACCTCATTCTTGGCTTGGCTGCCAAATTAAATAGCTTGAGGGCCAGCATGCTTCTAACAATAAATTTCAATGTAAAGAGGTGCTACCAATAGGCAATTACATCAGTTTGGCATATTACTACTAACCATTCATAGTTCACAGAAGAGAACAAAGGTTTTCTAGTATGCAGGTTGTTTCGACATCTGATTTCAAACCATCAAAGTCAAAACTGTAATCATAATCAGAGATTGTACAATCTGATTAAAATACAAATGTAGTGTGATACAAATGTATGTATAGATTTCAACTTTTTCCAGTTTTTTGCTTTCACTATCAAAAAAAAAAAAATCATGTTCCACACGATCTTATTGTAATTTAATAATCCTATTGACATTCTATAGTTGGAAGTATTCAAAGTTCAGAGGCTTTATTTTCATCTGTAATACCTAATCCCTAAAAATTAGCAGTAATACTATGCTAACTGATTTTGATGATTTTTTTCTGTACATTTACAACTGTTTCCAACCACAATCAACATTCCAAATTTGGAATAATTATCAGAATGTAACCCTTTAGATTAATTTGCCAAAACATCCAATAGACAAATGTAAATACACCCTTGAAATGAACTGACAAAATAAAGGGACCAGTAGTCAAGTGTGTAAAAACTGGGTATTTGAAACAAAACTGACCAACAGAAATAGGTATGTTCAGGTGATTGTCTCTTTTCTTTGGAAAAATCAACATCCAAATTATGTAATGTAAAATATGAGGTTATTACCACATATGATTCATGGAGCTGGATGTTATAAGAGACATCCGAGCTGTATTATTCATAAACCAAAGATGGTAACAGCCCTGATGCATTGAGTATCCACCAGCTCTATGATTAGGTGATACCCGGAGACGAACAATTCTGTTGCCAGAAAGTTATGGAAATACATGTTTGTGAATCAAATGCTAATTTATGCGGGTAAAATGGGACCATCAGAAATTTGTTTTTCTCTGCATACTGTTCATACATGCTTAAGGTTTAATGAGAATCCCAATGGTCCACATGTGCACAGCTCCTTGTACAGTCAAACAACACAGGACTGTGATCATGTTACCTCCAAATATACCTGTTTTAATGATGTAGTTGGGTGTGTTGAATTTCAGGTTTCTATCTGTATTATTATACTGAATTGCACATGCTCACACACTATACATGTAGTAATGAGCGAGTAGATTT